GTGGGGGTCTGTCTGTGTCTCACGCCCTGGCTCCCGCTCCTGGGCACGGCCCACTGGGTGTGTGTGGGGGTCTGTCTGTGTCTCACGCCCTGGCTTCCGCTCCTGGGCACGGCGCACCGGGTGTGTATGGGGGTCTGTCTGTGTCTCATGCCCTGGCTCCCGCTCCTGGGCACAGCACACTGGGTATGTATAGGGGTCTGTCTCACACCCTGGATCCCCGTGCCTGGGCCAGCACACAGGATGTGTACAGGGTCTGTCTCATGCCCTGGACCCCCGCGCCTGGGTGCGGCACACTGGGTATGTATAGGGGTCTGTCTCACACCCTGGACCCCCGCGCCTGGGCCAGCACACAGGATGTGTATGGGGTCTGTCTCAGGCCCCGGACCTCTGCGCCTGGGCCAGCACACAGGATGTCTGTGGGGTCTGTCTCACACCCCAGACCTCTGCGCCTGGGCACAGCACACTGGGTGTATATAGGGGTCTGTCTCACGCCCCGAACCTCCGCTCCTAGGCGCAGCACACAGGCTGTGTACGGGGTCTCTCAACGCCCTGGACCTCCGCGTGAGGGGCTGGGGGCCTCCGATGTTGCCTAGATCTTGGTGCAATAAAACAGTGAATTTCTGTGATTCCTGCCTGTGTCTTTTTTGTTCGTCTGATTTTTGAAATGTCACATCAAAAGCCGTAGTCTGTGACCCCCAGCTGACGTCAAAGGAGGTCTTTGTTGTGCTCAGTCATTGTCAGGATTGGGGACCCTCAGGTCTCTGCGGTAGAAGAGTCTCCAGCAGGTCTTACCTGAGCCTGTAAGTGCAGATGAGGCTATTAAAGCCGCTCACTGAACACTGGGCGATTTTAAACAAGTGCTGTGTTCAGGAAACTTGGAAAGAATATCTTTCCACTGAGGTTGTGTTTGCTTTTTAACGGATGACGTCGGAATTTCCGTAGAGAGAGGTGAGCCTGTTATTCTAGGCTTCGCTGAAGTCCGCGTTTTCCTCACAGGTGGTGCGGGTGAAGCAGGGACTCTGCATGTGGGGTGCCCGGGCCTGGCTGGTGCACGGCCAGAGGGGGTCCATGACTCTGCCAGCCCCTGACCCGAGTGGGTGAGCCCAGTGGTGTTCTCCAGCAGCGGGCTGGGGGGCTTGACGAGGAGAGGCTGCCTTTGTCAGGCCAGGCCACAGCCGGCGGCAGTGGGTCTGTGCTAAGCAGGAGGGGTCTGGATCTGTGTTGATGTGTTGTGGGGATGGAGGCCCGGCTGGGAGAGATTGCCCGTGTCCAGGAGGTGACGTTCAGTATGAGCAGCACTAGTGAGTGGGTGACTGGGAGGCCCTGGGACCCTGCGGCAGAGGTGGGTTTCTAACTTAGGCAAGTTCTGAATTCTGCTTGGCAGTCTGTTACCTGACATCCAGCACCTTCCAGCCTCCTCCTTCTCTTCGGTGACCCCACCCAAAGGTGTTAAGCACAGGGATTTGGCCAGACTTCTCGAAGTGAGGACAGCCCAGTGAGAGCAGGTGGGGGAGGTCGGCACCTGAAACCACCCCGATGCTGCCCAGGGGCCTTTCGGACTCGCCACACCCACGTTAGAGGGTTCACGATCAGGTGAGCAGGGGCGGTTCCAGTGGAAGGCGGCCCGGTGGTGATTAGACTTTTTTCCTTGTTCCTCCTCTTTTCTAAGGGGGCGTTGGTGGCTCGGTGATAGAATCCTTGCCTTCCACCGAGGAGACCCGGGCTCGATTTCCTGGCCAACACACATCATGCGCAGCCACCACCCGTCTGTCAGTGGAGGCTTGCATGTTGCTAGGATGCTGAGCAGGTTTTAGCAGAGCTTCCAGACTAAGACAGACTAGGAAGAAAGGCCTGGCGATCTATTTCTGAAAATCAGCCAGTGAAACCCCTATGAGTGAAATAGAGTGGCAGACAAAATAAAGGATATTACCCGTAAGATCAGTGCTCTTCTTACAGTTACCCGAAAGCAAAGCTGAGAAGATAAGGGGGCAGGGAAACTAGAGTACTGGAAGGGGAACAACACAGAATGCTGGCACATAGTGATAAATGCAGCTGATGTCGCTGAACAGGATGGGTGGAAATTGTCAAATGGGAACCTAACTTGCTGTGTAAACTTTCACCAAAAACTTAATAAAATGTTATTTAAAAAAAAAAACCTATGGATCAAAACAGCCCAGTCCCATTGTGCACGGGGTAGCCATGGGTCAGGGCTGACTCCACGGCAGGTGACGACTGTCTTCCCAGCACCGCGGCTGCTCCTGGGTGTATGTATGAGAGCCGGAGCTCTCCAGGCTTTGGGCCTCACGGGCAGGGATGAGAAAGAGCCCGGGGTGGGTTGACCCATGCGAGACAAAAGGCCGATGGGGCTAGTTCTGCCTGCAGTGGCCTCGGGAGGAGATGATGTTTGCTGAGCCAACCTCACTGGGATTTATCACCACATAATCACTAAGACAGAGCCCAGGGGATATTTCAGTTGAAAATTCAAGCATGAGCCAGTTCGGC